ATCAAAAGAAGCAAAAGTTCCTAGGTGCTGTGGGCGGAGTCACTCCATCCTAGCGTCTCCGGAGGGGGAGGGAATCTCATGGCGGCCCAGGCGACCAGAGCATTGGCGAGTGCCCTCCGGACGTGAGCCATATCTCCTGGCGGTCCCAGAGAGTGGGACGGTCCTGCGGCGGAGCCTGGCGCGAAGGTTGTAGTCTGGCGGTGCGGACGCGCTGGGCGCTCGTGGCGCAGAATGCCCGCCAGGACGTAGGGGCTGCGCCCTGGGTAATAGGCGAGCTTGCTGATGTATATTTGATACTGATTTGAGTTTCGACTTGCTGCAATTGGTCGATGTTTTTGTATCATTTTGCGTGTCAACTTGAGTGTCAATTTACTGCAATTTTGATGCAATCTGGTATCGATTTGGACTTCAATTTGCTGATATTTAGCAGTCTGTAGCGGCGTCAGTACAGGTATCAAAATACAGGTGGGTAAATACGTATACAGGTAACGCTGTAGGTATGACGTAGGTATCGCTGCTGGTAGGAGGTGTGAATTGACATGAATGAGAGGTAGGTCGATAGGCAGAAAGAAAGCAGGTAGGCAGCTACGCAGGTAGGTAGCAGGTGGGATCGTCGAGATGTCAAATCTGAGGTCAATTGCTAGCGAGGACAGGGCTAGCGTTAGGACTTAGACATATTTGCCACGGTGGGGTCACCCTTTGGGAGGCGGTGAGTGTTAAGAGTTGAGATGTCATATTTGGTATGCCTACTACCTCTTTAGTCGTTGTATTAGATGTCGCATTTTAGTTAGTCTATCGACAACAACTAAAATTACATTATATCCATGACTCTCAGGGAGGTCAGTAACAAAATCCATCGAGACATTTGTGCATGTTCCCTCTGGTATTAGCATTTGGCGAGGTACTCCGCAAGGTGCATTGCGTGGTGCCTTGCCTCGGACACACAAATTGCAATTCCTGACAAATCGATCGAAATCTTTTCGCATTTGTGGCCAAAAATACTCCCGAGTTAAGAGTTCCAATGTCTTTGCTCTACCTGGATGGCCTCCTGATGGTTTCTCATTATATTCCTTTAGGAGTCTCAACCGGAGGTCAGTGTCGTTCGATACGTAGAGTGCGCCTCCATAAAGTAGCCGACTATTGTTGTCTTCCATACATTCGGCAAGTGAGATTTTATTGGAATGGCGAACATCACTCCAAAGCATAGCGAGGATTTCGTTAGGAAAACTATCGACTTGCTAAGCTTTTGAAAATAACTTCTCCACAGTAGACATTGCTTCAGCGGATTCATTTGCTAAAGAACCAGCGAACAAACTTAGCTTTATATCCAAATTTTTCCGCTTCAGAACCAGTTGGCTCTGATGCGTCAACCGTTCATCCCGTTCTTTAAGTAGGTTACCCGAACTTCTAGTCAATGCATTTAGTTTGGCTCCCTGTTTTCCTGGTGGGAATTCAGACCAACGAGCTTGTCGGCGATTTAACAATTTAGTCGTCGTGAAATATTCCAAATTCCGATGATAACTAAAAACTTCAATGGGGAATTGTGCTCCCTCCAGATGATTTCGCCGCTCTTCGAAACATCGCACGATCGCTAGAGGTTCCTTGTAATAAATTTCATAATTACATTCCGCAGGGGAATGTTTCTTAGAAAGAAAGCGAGCGGATGTAAAACTTCTTCATCATCACGTTGCAATAGAATTACTGTTGAAACATAGTCGGATGAATCGGTTTCCACCAAAATCTTTCGATCCGGATCAAAATGAACTAGTATAGGTGTCATTGTAAACATTTTTCTTGGAATTTGAAACGCTTCCTCCCTTTTATCTGTCCATTCGAATTTGACATTTTTCTTCGTTAAAGCTGTAACCGGGGCAACAATCCTTGAATATCCTAAGATAAACCGTCCATAAAAATTTGCAAATCCCAAAAATACTTGAACATCATGGAGATATTTCGGTGTAGATCATTCTAGAAAATCGACAACCTTCTTCGTATCCATCCTATTGCCGTTCGGGGTAAGGATTAAGCCAAGGTATTTTGTTTCTCGAACCATAAATTCGCACTTTTCGGGTTTGAGATGAACATGATTTTCGTCAAGTACTTTTAGAACCTTTTGAATATAATCCTTGTGTTCTGTAAGGGACTCGGAAGAGATAAGTATATAATCTAAATAGGCCGTCACGAATTGATCAAAATAGGGAAGCAGGAAGTCATTGATACAATATTGGAATGTAGCAGGAGCATTCGCTAACCCAAAGGCATTACCGTATTTTCAAAATGTCCATATCAAGTCCGGAATGCCGTTTTCCATTCGTCTCCCTCTGCTATCCTGATCTGATTATATCCCATGCGTAAATCCAACTTGGTATAGTATTTTGGTCTCGACAATTTGGCCAAAGTTTCGTTTAATAAGGCAATGGATAGCGATTTTTAATTGTAATTGCATTGAGGCCCCGATAGTCGGTAGATAAACGAAGAGCTCCATCGGGTTTCTTGACGAATAGTATAGGCGCTCCCGCTGGCGATTCACTATGGCGGATAATTCCGTTGGGTAGATTCTACTGGAGGTCGTCCCAGAATGCCTTCAGTTCGATTTGGGATAGGGTGTATCTTGGTCCCTATGGTGGTTGTTTGCCTTCTTCTAGTACTATTTTAATATCATTCAACGGTCGATGTGGCGGAAGCACTGAAGTATTAATTTCTTCAAACTTTATGGATATAGCGGTGGAACTCTTTCGGTATTAGCTTTTCAATATCAATGGTAGATTTTTCAGTCGCTGAAACAATAGTGGTATGTTTTTCCGGTAGGGGAATTGATATGCCATGAACCGTAACTACAGTTCCGCCAAGCGAACAATATTGACAACAGTTTCGAGAGTCAAAAATAAGCAAATTTCCCTTTGGTCGAATGGTAACGTCATGGCGTCGCATCCAAGGTATCCCCATCACAATCGGATAATGTCCTAACTTTGTCACAAAACATTGCGCAATCTCGAGATGGCCATGAATGCCTAGAGGGACATCAACAATAAGGGTAATTTTTCCTGACTTGATAGGTCTGCCGTCTATAACGTCTACGTGGCGGGGTATTTTGAGGGGGGTCATGGTAAGATTGTTGTGGCGTTCAAAAGATTCATCAATGAAAGCATATCCTGATGCTCCGGTATCAATAAGCGCGTAGGTGGGTATAAAAGAATTTTTATTCTGCGAAATCGAACAAGTTACTGCAAATTGGTTCCCATCCATTTCCTCCTGTGATACCGAAAAACCAGAAACTCACATCCTAGGAAAATCTTTAAATAGTCCCTGGGCTAAGCCACTTAGTGCAGGGAGAAATCTCTTGCGGACTCGTTATCACTGCCTTCGTTTTCCTCCACCCTCAATGCCGCTCCCCTCATCACCAGTCTCCTTGATTGATTTCCAGTTGCCCTCGCTTGGGGGCAATCTTTAACCATATGTCCGACACCTCGGCAAGAGAAACATTGAGCCTCAGCTAAGCGTGCATTTTTTTCGGTATGGGTGGGGCGACGACGTCCTCCAGACAAATCCATCGGTACATCACCTCCCGAGCGGAAGGAGGGATGATTCTCAGTTGTAGGTACATTGGCTACCGGGGCAGCAGCACGGGGAGCAGGGACGGGATTCGCTGGTGGGGGACGAGGGGCCGGAGCAGTAGTAGCATTTCAAGGCTTTTTACTTCCTCGCTTAGCTTCTGCCGCTCGAGGGCTATTATCCAACCGTTGCAAGAGCATTGCACAGGCATCTACCGTCGCAGGAGTTTCATGTTGTACCATTGATTCGTCGATTTCCGCATCAATACCTTCCATTAGGGCCTCGAAGTGAGAGGGTTAATGCATTCCTGACCCGGCAGCATATCTTTGAAATTCGGCCAAATAATCGGCAAAAGTTCGGTTTCGTTGGTGTATGTTCTTGAGATTCCTCCTAGCTGTGCGCATGCGTTCAGGGTCCCCGAACGCCGTATCTAGAATTTCATAAAACCGTAACATGGAAGGCACAACAATGTCTTTTTCCCCGACGTATTGTAGAAACTGATTATCGGCGACACTTTCCAGTCGACTGAATGCATAGGATAGCTTAGAGTGTAATGTGGGGAAGCAGTCGGCGTTTCCTAATAGCTTGATCCTCATCTGTTGCTTGAATGGGTTTAATCTTTCTCGATAACGATCTCCCCCAAACACCTCAGGATCTGGGAGCTTCTCCCACCGCTGGGTAGTGATCACGACGGGTGGTATTGTAGGCGCAGGTGGGGCATTATCGCCACCAATCGGTTCTTCATCAGGGGCCACCACTTCAACAGCGACCCGTTGAGTTCGAGCAGCAGCAAGGTCCCGCTAGAACATCCCTCTTGCATTTCCAGCCTCCCTCTCCACATCCTGTAGGTCCGTTGCATACTTAGCAAGACCGTGTTGGGCCCGTTGGAGGAGTGAATAAGCTTCTATTCCGACATTGTTATCGACCTGTGGGTGTTCTTGAAAGAAGGTTTGAAGGGCGTTGCTTAGTTGCTGATAATCGACAGGGACGTGTCCTGACATTGTAGACTGTAGTGTTGTATTGGTTGGCAATAGAGAATGCAACCTAGTGTAACGGGGGTCTATAGGCGTAGGGACTATAGTGCCAAGGAATACAACCGAGGCGAAGACGTAGCAGTAGGGATTCAATACTATGGACTATTGGGCCGCTCTACTTAGTATGATACACCAGTGGAACCCTATTACGAGACAGAGAACAAAAGTAGTATTCAGGAAGTAAATACAAGAGATTGTATGAAGAGAAAAAGAAAGAAAGGAAAACATGAAAAGGCACGAGACAACGACCCTTTATATATCCAATTCCTAGTCCATTGATGACTAATATTCCGCGTAATGGAAACTGAAAGAACATAACAGAAACCCTATTACAAATCCTGATTCAACTGCGCAATGGCTCCTCTTCACGATCCAATCTATCGCTTTAGACGAAATGTAATATTGCCGTTACAGTAAACCTAACCACCCACAACCGAGTTTCAACCTCCACCAGATACATCTTTCTCTATTACACCTCGAGAGAAAAACTCATAATCCTAACCACCCACAACCCAGCTCCAACCTTCATGAAATACACATTTCTGAATTACAATCCCAGATTGCCACTCATAACCCTAACCACCCACAACCTAGTGCCAACCTCCACGAAATACATATTTCTGAATTACAATCCCAGATGGCCACTCATAACCCTAACCACCCACAACCCAGCTCCAACCTCCGCGAAATACACATTTCTGAATTACAATCCCAGATTGCCAGTCATAACCCTAACCACCCACAAGCCAGCTCCAACC